CAGGCTTGGATCTGATCTGGCTGTTACAGCATCACTATCACCCTCCTCTGCCCCCCAATCCCTGTCCCCACTGCCACCCCCCGCTTCTGTTCCCCTGCCCCAAAGGAAGCCAGTTGATTCCTTTTGGAGATGAACTCATTGTTGACTTTAACTCACTTCGATGTTTCCCAGGGAAGCATTCTGGCAGGAGGCCCGCCACAGCTCCTTGAAGAAGATAGCTAGGCCAGGGCCAAGACTGGGTGCCAGGGGCCTCGGAACTGCCAAAATGCCTCCCATTTTATGGACAGGCCTGGCTCACCCTGAAGACATTCCAAGCATTTAATCAGCAGTCCATGGTACATATTGGGTTGCAGAGGGATCCCTCAGAAGCCAGCCTTTTAGGAGACAAAACTCAGCCAGAGGAAGGAGCTGGTCTTCTCCATGGACCAGGCTGATGCTCGACAGATGGAAAAAGTGCATCCCAATCACAACAATCAATAACCAAAGGCTGACAGCTGCAGAGACCTGGCTTGAGGGGTCCCCCTGGGGACTTGGCTCTGCCTCTTTCCCACACCAGACTGAGTCCAGCCAGGAATCCATCTCACCCACCTCCCTGCACCAAGCTCCGGGAGAGCGAACGAGCGAGGGAGGAACCATTTTTCACATACTTTCTCTTTCAAAATGTAGTCCTGTTTCGCAATTTCCTACTTAAGTTCTGGAAAGCTCTAGGGCAGAACCCAAGCCACCTTCTCCAGCCACTGGCCTGGGTCTCTTGTCACCAAGAACCTGGTAGGCTAGTGGTGACAGAGAAAGGAAGGGGCTCAGATTTACTAACTCTCCCACTGTCCCCCATCCATACCTGCTCACCTAAGGGTCTATTTAGTGCAGGTCTCTCTCTCTCTCTCTCTCTCTCTCTCTCTCTCAGTAGAGACAAGGTCTCACTATGTTGCCCAGACTGGTCTTGAACTCCTGGCCTCAAGCTGTCCTCCTGCCTCAGCCTCCCAAAGTGCTGGGATTAGAGGCACACACCACCACGCCCGGCCTCACATTTTTGATGCAAAAGGAGCTTCAACCGAGCCTCCAGCCAAAACCTGTTCATTGTTCCTCCTGTGCTGGCTTTCTCTTGGGAGAGCCAGAAGGTGTGCCGCACCAAAGCAGGTGCACCCAACCCTGGTATGCTCACGTCTCAGCAACCCCTGAGGCAACTAATCTTCAGACCTTCTCCACTCCCCTGTAACTAGGTTTTGTTCTGGCTCACTTTTACTGGCAGCACTAGACAGTATTCCAGCCCTTTTGCAATGAATCCATTTAGTCCTTCAAAATGAAACCTGCTCTCTCTGATAGTTTTCTTCCTACCTTATTGCCGTTCACTTGGGTTTCCACCTGTTGCTCATTTAAATCTAGTGTGGACCACAGCTGGAGGAATGAGAGGCAAAAAGCCAGCACCTGGGTTGCTGGCCCTGCATCAGGGACTTGTAATGGAGCCCAAGAAGCTGACCCTTTTCCTAAATTCCCTCTCAGTCCTCCTACACCAAACCAAACAAACCAGAAAGAAAAAAATCCCCACTTAAATAAACAAATCCAGAAAACACAACCCCATCACCCAAAATATTGAAATGGAAAACAAATCTACACTCTGGAGAGTTGATCTGAAACATACCAGAGCTGGAACTGCGTACGGTGGCCAGAAATGTGTTAGTCTGGGCAAATCTGTGGCCCTGTAGAAGAAAAAGCTAACATTTTCCAAATAACAATGTGGGCACGTAACAACCGCATACAATCACATGCTGTTGCTGCCTAAACCTGGGAATAGGGTTAGGCAGCTCTACATCTTGACATAGATTCCCTCTCTCAGCACTCACTCATCCTAAAAAGCACAGGGTGTGATGTCTGGACCAACTCTGGGCTGCTCTCAGCGCTTATGGTCTCTGCCTCAGGTGGGTTGCTTCCAGGATTGTGAGCAGGTTTTAAAACACACACTCCTCTCCAGCTCAAAGCAGGACAGGGTGAGACAGACAGGAGCAGGTCCTGGTGGGGCTCATTGTTTTTTAGGAAGGTACTGGAATCACATCTGAAAGCACCCAGTGTATCAGTATCAGAGTATCAGATGCCCTTGCCAGTAATTCTGCAGATGTGGAAGCTCAAGTGTAATATGTACATCAGTGAATTCAGGATTTCCTGAAACTCATCCTGTGTTTCTTGTCTTAGCTGCCTGAAGGACTTCGGGAGCAGCTTTAGGTGGCTGAAAGATGTGATGTAGAGAAGCGGGATCGCTCAGAGCATCACAGAGTTGATGGCAGGAGATACAGGAGGATCCAGCTCTTTGATGTTGCTAAGATTCTGGATTTCTGCTTTGATGTTGGTGTGGAGGAAGGATTATGACAGTACTTCTCAACTTGTTAAATATCTGCACAGATTTCCTAAGGGATCTTCTTACAAGGCAGATTCAGATTCTTTAGGTCTGGGAAGGGCCTGAGAGTCTGTATTTTTAGCAAGGTTCCAGATGAAGCCAAGGTCGCTGGTCCATGGCTACACTTTGAGTAGCACGGGCCTAGGAGTCAGGGACAAATCAGAGCCAAAGATGACCAAAACATACTGGGACTGAGGATTGATGCCCAGAAGTGAGAAACAGGAGGACAGAGATAATCCATCGTGCACAAAAATGGAGTCAGAGGCTGAAGTGGAAAAAGAGGGACTGAGAGGGCAGCGTTAGAGACGCAGAGATGGGCAAAGGCAGAGAGAACAAACACAGCGATGGAAGATGGATAGGGACAGAGAGACTTGCAAAGACAAAGCCAGGGTCAAGGAGAGGAGAGAAGGTCAAGAAGAGTGAGGGAAGAGGGGCAGGGTGGCTCACGCCTGTAATCCCAGCACTTTGGGAGGCCAAGGCGGGCTGAGGTCAAGAGATCAAGACCATCCTGGCCAACGTGGTGACACCCCGTCTCTACTAAAAATACAAAAATTATCTGGGTGTGATGGCACATTCCTGTAGTCCCAGCTACTCAGAGAGGCTGAGGCAGGAGAATCACTTGAACCCAGGAGGCGGAGGTTGCGGTGAACCGAGATCGCGCCATTGCACTCCAGCCTGGCGACAGAGTGAGACTCTGTCTCAAAAAAAAAAAAAAAAGTGAGGGAAGAGGGGCTGGGGCTGTAGGCAGCCTGTGACTGGCAGTGAAGATGACAGGTGTAGATGGGACAAGATCTGCAGGCGCACAGACATGAAATCCCCCACTTGTCTCACCTCCCAGCCTCCTCATACCTGCATCACTCTCTCCTTGCTCCTGCAAAGCTGTCCCTCCCCATGGAACCTTCCACTACTGACTTTCCTTTCTCTTGCCTGTGTACTCAACCACTTTCTCTTAAGTGCACCCCGCCAAGAAGGTTTTAAACACCTTCAAGTCTTTCCCACCTAAAGAAAAAAGACTCCCTTGACTCATATTTCTTTCTAGTTCCTGTCCTATTTCTTTTTCCCCTTTTCACAGCTCAAGAATGGTCTGCTTCCATCACCCTCCCCAAACACCTCTTCTAAGGTTCTGTTGGCACACATGTTGCTAAGTCTAATGGTCACTTTCCAGTCTTCTTTCGCTTGATCTCTCCCTCCTACTGCTAGTTTCTGGGACTTGATATTCCCCTGGGTTTCCTCTTGCCTGCTCCTTCTTTAACTCATCCTTTGTGATCTGATCTTTATATTTAGAGGGCCTTTATATTCAAGCTGGGTGAAGACTCTCTCTTCACCCAGTGCTGTCTTTTCAGTTGCCCTCTTCCAAACCCACAGCCTCGATTGCCTTCTGTACACCAGTTTACATTCCAGCCCAAACTCTCCCTGTACAACTACACCTGTGTTTATGTCTAAGCACTGTCTGCTCACCATCTTTACCGGGTCAAAACAAGATTTATGTTCTTCCTTCTTCTCCCAAACTGGTCTTCCTCACAGGTTTTGTGTGTCAGAACACAGAACCATCATCTGTCTGGGTGTTCAAGCCAGAAACAGGGATTCCATCCTTGATAACTCCCTCCCAGTCTCTCCCCTCTTCCATATCTAATCCATCAGCAAAGTCTGTCAACTTCGTGCCCCAAATACCTTTTGATTTTGCTCATTTCCCTCCATTTCCACTGCCACCACCCTAGTCCAAATCTCCAACATCCCTCACCTAGATGACAGCAACAGCCTCCTAAGCAGCCACTCCTAATCTGTCTTTCAAGCTACAGACAAAGTGATCTTTGCAAAATGTAAATCTGGTTGTCTTGGCCTACTGCTTAAAACCCCTCAGCAGCCTCCCTTGGCTCTGAGAATAAAGGGCCAACTCACTGAAAAACTGTTAAGTGTTCGTAAAACAACTTGGGCATGGCTATCTTCTTTTTCGACTTTAGTTTTAACGCAATGTCATTACCGATCAGGTATTTCTGGTGAAAATTTAGCATCCAAATTAAGATATGCAATGAGTGTAAAAATACACACAGGACATTGAACACTTAGTTTTAAAAATGTAAAAGATCTCACTAATAATTTTTTACCTTGATTGCATGTTAAAAAGATAATACCTTGGGTTAGGTACAGTGGCTTATGCCTATAATCCCAGCACTTTGGGAAGCCAAGGTGAGAGGATGGCTTGAGGCCAGGAGTTCAAGACTGGCCTGGGTAATATAGTGAGACCTCATCTCTATGAGAAAAAAAAAAAAAGTAGGGGGGCCGGGCGCAATGGCCCATGCCTGTAATCCCAGAACTTTGGAAGGCTGAGGCGAATGGATCATCTGCAGTTGGGAGTCCAAGACCAGCCTGACCAACATGAAGAAACCCCATCTCTACCGAAAATACAAAATTAGCCGGGCATGGTGGCACATACCTGTAATCCCATCTACTCGGGAGGCTGAGGCAGGAGAATCGCTTGAACCCGGGAGGCGGAGGTTGCAGTGAGCCAAGATCACTCCACTGCACTCCAGCCTGGGCAACAAGAGCAAAACTCCGTCTCAAAAATTAAATTAAATTAAATTAAAATAACACTTTGTATATATATAGTTAAGTAATGGACGTAATTAAAATTAACCTCATCTTTTTCTTTTTCCTTTTTATACTGTAGCTACTAGAAAAAACATTTTTTTGGTTTGTTTTAGAGATGGCCCAATCCCAGTAGTTTCACCATGCAGCGCAGGCTGGTCTCAAACTCCTGGGCTCAAGTCATCCTCCCATCTTTGCCTCCCAAAGTGTTAGGATTACCGATATGAGCCACCCTGCCTAGACAAAAATATATGTGGCTCACATATTTCCATTAGACAGCACCTGTCTTTGTTTTAAATCCTTCTACCCGAGTTTGGCTCAAATATCATGTCCTTTGAGAAGCCTCCCCGAGAGGAAGTATTTTATTTCCTAGCTGTACATAGATGCCAGTGGCCACCTGCCCTTGGCTGCATCCTTTTGTAGTTATATATGCGTTTGTATGATTCCTTGGTGCATGCCTATAATTTTCCCCACCAACCTCCAAGCTCCAAAAGAGCAAGGCCTGTGTTTGGCTACTCCCTGGAAACCTAGCATGTAGTCCAGAGCCTGGTACACACTTCAGAATGCCACAAGGGGTCATTCCATCCACTGCCCTCCCTTTGAGCAGGACTGTCCCCAACCATCGCTGGGAACCTATGCACCCCTTTCCCCCAGCAGTGCCACTAGCCCTTCTGAATACAGATTCTGCCTCTCCCAGATGGAAAGTCCTCCTTTATAGCTGACCAGAATCCCTCCTGCTGCAAGATGGCCGGGGCCCTTTGTCCCATCCTTTAAGGGGAATTACAGCAGCACTTCTCACATTTGGATAACACGCCAATCATCAGGAATGTTGTTACAATTCAGACTCTGGCTCACCAGGTCTGGAATGAGACCTGAGATTCTCATTCCGAACAAGCTGCCCCGTGACAACACTGCTTCCCCAGGCCACACTCTGAGTAACGAGGATATAGAGAGCCTGTTTACCACCCTCAGAGCATCCCCTACGTTTTCGTCCTTCTCTGCATGACCCTCTATTCAGCAGGCTATTTGGGGTCTCTTGAAATGCCCTGTCCCTTCTTGCTCCCATGCATACCTTGCCAATCCTCACACCTGCAAAGGAAGGAATGTGGTGCCTGTGGCTACTGCTGTTGTTGATTTTTTGTTTTTAATTTGAAATAAACCTTTAAGCAGTTTTCAGAGTCAGGTTAGTCCTGATACGTATCATGGAAGGGTAACAATACTCTCCAACGATAAAGTCACACAGCTGGGCGTGCCGACCGGGGCGGGAAGAAGGCTTCTCCCTGGGTCACCAGCAGTCCTCAAGCTTGGCTCCCAACTACCACACCAACTGGCCCAATCCCAGTAGCTTCTCCAGAAGGCTCCCCTCTGCAGTTTGGTCTCAGACGTGGGAAGCATTGTCTCTGACATGTCCACTGGGAGCACTGGAAACCAAATGTGTACTGCTGGGCCCGAGGGATGGAAATGTCTTCTGGTGGCCTCAGGGATGTGTGTGTGTGTGTGTGTGTGTGTGTGTGTGTGTGTGTGTGTCTGTGTCTGTCTGTGTGTACATGCACACACATGTGTGCACGCATGTATGGTTATCTATGTAGACAGGGGTTTGAGTGCGTGTGTATTGTGTCTATGTGTGAATGGATGGATGGAGTGTGTGTGTATGCTTTGCCCCCAACATTCCAGTTCAGGAAAGCTTTAATTACACAGAGCAGCACTGAACTCTTCCTGCATGGGCCTGGAGGCTGGACAATGTCCCTAGGTGGGCCCTGCAGATGTGAGTGGCCCCACCGTCCCTTGTTGCTGCTGCTGTTGCTGCCCCTTGCGTCTTCGAGAGCCAGTGCCCGCCTCCTTGCCCTCCTTCCTGGCCAGGTTCCTGTTGGCATTCTCCCGCCGGCCCTGGCCTCCCTTCCTCCTCTTCTGCCCTGCAACAAGCAAACAGCAGGAAGAATCAACAAAGGATGTGAGGGGAGGCCCTGGGCATGGCCACAGGCCCTAGGAGGGGAGTGTGAGGAAGCCAGGAAGGGGAGGCAAGGAGGAGTCTGGAGACTGCCCTTAGGTAGCTGGGTCATCATGACCTCCTCTGACAGCAGCCACTTCAGAGGACCCTGCGGCATGGGCACTGGAAGGCATCCCAAGGGCCCTTTCACCCCCAACCCTCAAGGCACACAAGACATCATCCTCTTCCTCATGAGTTCCTCAGACCTTGGATCTCAGTGGACCAAGAGTACTTCCCAGGTGTTCAGTGCACCCTCAGAACAGGCAGGACTGCCTCCATCCTGTACCCACCACCAGCCACCTCTGGGGCCAGGAAAGAACAGCAGCCACCTCCTTGCCAACTGCAGGCTGTGTGGCTTCGGTGGAATCACTACACCTCTCTGGGTCTTAGTGCCCCCTTTCCATCCACAAATCCGGCCTCCAAGGGGCCTTCTAGTATGAACATCCACTAGCTCAGAAGAAATGGGGAAACTGGAAGGATACTGATCACAGAAGCTTCCAGCTTCTACCATGCAGAGTTCTGGGGCCCCGTTCTCTGTAAGGACTTGACATCTGGATTGGACAGCATGAGATCTTCAGTTGCGGGTGCCCCATCTGGCCTTGCCCTGAAGCCTTCTCCTGAGCAGCAGGCAGCAAGCAGAGGTGGTGGGACCTGCGGTGGCCAGTGCCTGAGCTCTGACCCCAGGGAGGCGGAGGCTGCAGCTCACCCTCAGGACACGGCACCCTCCTCACTGTGCACCTCCGGGCCTCCTTGGTGTCAGAGCAGGCAGAATGGTCCCCCCCAGGGGCCTGGAGCACCCTGCGTGTCCGCTCCTCGGAGCCCCTCCGGAAACCACAGAGCTTCTTCTTCTTGGAGCAGGGCCCCCAGGGGGACCACTCACTCATTTCACATTGCACTAGCAGGAAGAGAAGGGAAGAGAGAGAACAAGGAGGAGGGGATCAGGTCTCCATCCCTGGCCCAGAACACCCCAGCGGAGCGCCTCCCGATGGCCTTCTGCCTGGACCTCAGGCTGCAGGTATCTTTAGTCCAGAGGGCAGAAAAGTCCTTGGAGACCCAGAAAGGAGTGTAGGATGAGCTCTCCCTGCACAGTACCCCAGCCCTCCGCTCTCTGGCCGGATGCCTACCTGGCTCCTCCTCCTAGGGTCCTGGACCCTCTGCCCACAGTACCTGCCATGGCTTACCAGGACTACTGCACTCCATGGTGCCATTGGCAGCTGAGGAGCCCTCAGGACAGGCTGGATAGCAGCGGCCCTTGTGCAGGTACAAGCCCTCCTTGCACTTGGTGCAGAAGTTGTGGCTGAAGCAGGCCTCGCAGTGCTCAATCTTGCATTCTGAGGAGAGGACAGATTGGGGGCCTCTGGCCCAGCCTGGAGGGAACGTTTCCCCTCATCCCTGGCCCCAACCCCCTCCCTTCCGTCCACACCCACCAACATGGAGGGCAGGACCCTGGCCTAGAGCTGCAGTTACTGCAGAAGACTCTGGGGAGGACAGGGAAAGGAAAGGCAGCGGCAGGCCGGCCAGGGAAGAAGCTGCAGTGGCTGCTCCTGAGAGCTGGCTGGGACTCCCGCTACCATCAGCCAACTCGAACTCGAACCCAGGCTCCATCCCTGGAACCCAAGGTGACGCTCCAGAGAGCAGTTTCAGAGGAGGAGGGTGGGACCCCCTGGGCTTGGTGGGCTGGGACAGGAGTGTTAGCATCTCACAGTGCCCAGAGGGCCAGCCTAAACAGAGCTGAACTGAGGGACAGAATGACCCCCAGAGAGTGGCTTCGGGATCTCCTCTTCCCTCATTGCTGGGCATTACAGTGTCCTAAACTGTGGTTCTCCTCCTGCCTGGGGCAAGAATCAGTGTGGAGGAGGGGGAAGCCATCCCAGGGCAAATTCCTCTCCCTCTGCAAGGCTGAGTTCCAGGAACCACCTTGGTAGGACTCCTGGGTCCCTCCCTGATTCCCCGCTGCCAGTTCCCTCCTCTGGGAGAGTGGGGGCAGGGTGGGTCCTGCAGGGCTTGGCTGGAAGCAGGCAGGGTCTTTCACAATCTCTCCTTCCCAGAGTGCAGGCGGGGCTAACTTCCTCCCAGGCTCTGGCACCTGAAGCCCACGCTGCCAGTTTTCTAGAAGCTGGTGTAGCCAAGAGCTCCTGACCCTAATCACCCGAGGACCAAGAGGACAACTTCCAGGGTCCCACCTCCATCCTCAGAAACTCCCATGTCCTCCATGCTTGTCTCAGCCTCACCTCTCTCCTTCCCTCCCTCCTTCCCTCCCTAGTGCTCTGATTCCTGGGTTTGGTTGCCAGTCAATTAAGAACAAAAATAAGAACAATAGCAGGGACCATTCATTGAGTGCCAGACACTAAGGCTTTACAGGCGTGTCTCGCAACAACCCTAGGGGATAAAAACTCTTAAAGATGAGGCATTGAGAGCTTGAGACATGCTCAAGGTCACACAAGGAAGAAGTGGCACAGTTGAGCTCAGAATCCAGTCTAGTCTTAGGCCAGTCATTTACGCTCCCGGCCTCAATGCTGTCAGCCCTGAAAATGGCACCATCCCTTGGGTCCTGTCTCCCTCCCAGTGTTGTTGTGAGGCTCAACTGATATGAGACCTGCAAATGCATTCTAAATGAGAAGGCATGAACAGGTGGTGGGGGTATTGGCACTGCTCCCCCGAGTGTGCTTACACGTGTCCCCAGTACATCTACATCGCAGGTGCAGCTTAATAGGAGGGGTGGAGATATGTGGACGACATGTGCCTTGGAGCACCTGAAACGGCAGCTGGTGTGGAAACCAGGAGCCAGCAGGCCAGAGAGAGGAGAGAGTGGACGAGCAGGCTGTCTGGGCTTGGATCCCTTACAGCCCATGTGGAGCTAATGGTGGTTTTTAAGCAGAAGTGTGATGGGGTAAGGTATGTGTCTCAAAAGTGTGATGGGATAGGGTGGGTGTCTCAGAATGTGATGGGACAGGGTGTGTGTCTCAGAATGTGATGGGACAGGGTGGGTGTCTCAGAATGTGATGGGACAGGATTTGTGTCTCAGGAGTGTGATGGGACAGGGTGTGTGTCTCAGAATGTGATGGGACAGGGTGTGTGTCTCAGAATGTGATGGGACAGGGTGTGTGTCTCAGAATGTGATGGGATAGGGTGTGTGTCTCAGAATGTGATGGTGTAGGGTGTGTGTCTCAGAATGTGATGGGGTAGGGTGTGTGTCTCAGAATGTGATGGGACAGGGTGTGTGGCTCAGAATGTGATGGGGTAGGGTGTGTGTCTCAGGAGTGTGATTGGACAGGGTGTGTGTCTCAGGAGTGTGATGGGGTAGGGTGTGTGTCTCAGAATGTGATGGGACAGAGTGTGTGTCTCAGAATGTGATGGGACAGGGTGTGTGTCTCAGAATATGATGGGATAGGGTGTGTGTCTCAGAATGTGATGGGGTAGGGTGTGTTTCTCAGGAGTGTGATTGGACAGAGTGTGTGTCTCAGGAGTGTGATGGTATAGGATGTGTGTCTCAGGAGTATGATGGGGTAGGGTGTGTGTCTCAGAATGTGATGGGACAGGGTGTGTGTCTCAGGAGTGTGATGGTATAGGGTGTGTGTCTCAGGAGTGTGATGGGATAGGGTGTGTGACTCAGAATGTGATGGGGTAGGGTGTGTGTCTCAGAATGTGATGGGACAGGGTGTGTGTCTCAGGAGTGTGATGGGACAGGGTGTGTGTCTCAGGAGTGTGATGGGGCAGGGTGTGTGTCTCAAAAGTGTGATGGGACAGGGTGTGTGTCTCAGAATGTGATGGGGAAGGGTGTGTGTCTCAGAATGTGATGGAGTAAGGTGTGTGTCTTAGAATGTGATGAGGTAGGGTGTGTGTCTCAGAATGTGATGGGATAGGGTGTGTGTCTCAGGAGTGTGATGGGGTAGGGTGTGTGTCACAGAATGTGATGGTTTAGGGTGCGTCTCAGGTAATGTGATGGGACAGGGTGTATGTCTCAGGAGTGTGATGGGACAGGGTTTGTGTCTCAGGAGTGTGATGGGACAGGGTGTGTGTCTCAGAATGTGATGGGACAGGGTGTGTGTCTCAGAATGTGATGAGGTAGGGTGTCTCAGGAGTGTGATGGGACAGGGTGTGTCTCAGAATGTGATGGGACATGGTGTGTGTCTCAGAATGTCATGGGGTAGGGTGTCTCAGGAGTGTGATGGGACAGGGTGTGTCTCAGAATGTGATGGGACAGGGTGTGTGTCTCAGAATGTGATGAGGTAGGGTGTCTCAGGAGTGTGATGGGACAGGGTGTGTCTCAGAATGTGATGGGACATGGTGTGTGTCTCAGAATGTCATGGGGTAGGGTGTGTGTCTCAGAAGCATTTTTCTGGCTGCAGTGCAGAAGGTGGGTTTCAGGGAAGCAGATGAAGGCTGGAGGATGGATGAACAGGCCATTGCAATGGTTCGGGAGCAAGGTGCTGGGAACCTGGGGAGGACAGTGGCAGTGAGGACTGAAACGTGATGACAGGCAGGCTCTGGTGATTTGATGGATGGGGTGGGAGAGGTTGGAACTCAGGGTATGGCTTGGGTGACAGGCTGGGACATGGAGGGTGACCTGTGGGAACAGAGGTAGGGGCAGGTGCGGAGGGAGGACATGGGGTTCTACTATTTACACACAGTTGGAAGTGTGCGGCTGGATACTTGAACTGGAGCCTCATCTCCTCTCCTCAGAGCCCCCTCTGCTTCTCTGGCCTGTCACCAATGGTTCAAAGCACCCTCCCCCAGTCCAGAGCTTCTAGAGCCCCGCACCCGACAGCCCTGCCCAGACTCACTGATGCACTTGTTCATGTCCGGGTTGCGGGCGTCGAAGTATCCAGGTGGGCAGGACGGCAAGCAGACGCCCACCTGGCGGATGTCGTTCCTCTCCAGCAGGATGAACAGCTTGGGAGAGCACTTAAGGCAGCCGTTGACTTCGGAGCAGAGCTCACAGCCTTTGGCACAGGCCTGGCTCCCCTCGGCACTGACTGCAAAGGTGGAGCAGGCATGAGGAGGCCGCTGTGGGAGGGAACCTTGCCTATCCAGATTCCCACAAGGATGGGAAGTGAATAGATTGGTGTTTCCTTCCACAGAAGGAATGTGCTTCTCAGAAAGCACAGGCCAGGCTGGCAGCTCTCTGCAAGGCTGCTTTATACGTCTCCCAGTAGCTTTTCTCCAGAGAGCTAGCACTGATGCTGTCCTTCGTGTCTCCCTAGCTCCAGGCATAACACAAGCTCACCCTCTAGGCTGGCTCCATCAACCCCAGAGAAGCAACCCAAGCTGAACCCTTCCTGGAACTTATCCATTCTCCCCAGAGCACAAAACATTCAGCCTTAGGTATGGAAGGAGGGTTTTAAAAATCTCTGAGAGCTGGGCACAGTGGCTCATGCCTGTAATCCCAGCACTTCATGAGGCAGAGGCAGGTGGATCACCAGGTCAGAAGATCAAGACTATCTTGGCCGACATGGTGAAACCCTGTCCCTACCAAAAATACAAAAATTAGCTGGGCATGGTGGTGAGCACCTGTAATCCCAGCTACTCAGGAGGCTGAGGCAGGAGAATCGCTTGGGAGGTGGAGGTTGCAGTGAGCCAAGATTGTGGCACTGCACTCCAGCCTGGGCGACAGAATGAGACTCTGTCTAGAGAAATAAAAATAAAGATAAATCTCTGAGAAAGTTTTAAAGGCAAGAGGGATAAAGAGTAAAACACAAAAAGGGCCACCTTCCCTTTTCAAAAACAACTGGAATAATCTATGCCTAGAACAGGGGTCTCAACCACTAATGATTTTGCTCCCCGGAGGACATTTGGCAATGCCTAGAAACCTTTTTTATTATCGCACCTGGGGAAAGGGGTTGTTACTGGCATCAAGTGGGTAGAGACCAGGGATGCGGCTAATCACCCTACAATGCATCAAGCACAGCAAAGAATCATCTGGTCCAAAATGTTAATGGCATGGACGTTGAGAAACCCTGGCTCTGAACCATCCTTTGAAGCCAGGCACAGTGACTAATGCCTGTAATCCCAGCATTTTGGGAGGCTGAGGCAGGCAGACTGCTTGAAGCCAGGAGTTTGAAACTGGCCTGGTCAACATGGCGAAACTCCATCTCTACTAAAAATACAAAAATTAGCTGGGTGTGGTAGCACATGCCTGTAATAACAGCTACTCAGGAGGCTGAGGCAGGAGAATCGTTTGGAACCCAGGAGGCGGAGGTTGCAGTGAGCTGAGATTGTGCCGGTGCACTCTACTCCAACCTGGGTGACAGAGCAAGAATCCCTCTCAAAAAGAAAGAGAGAGAGAGAGAGAGAGAGAGAAGAAAGAGAAAGTAAGAAGGAAGGAAGGAAAGAAAGAAAAAAAGAACCATCCTTTGAGGCTTCATGGTCTTCCATTCTAGCACCGAGTCTCAAGATCTTTGATCTCACTCACTTGTTTCATCCTCATAGAGCCCCTTCCATGGACCTTGCGCAGCATGACCCCCGGGACAGAGGCATATAAGCCACTCTGTAGAGGAACTGATCTTTCAGTGGAGCAAACAGGTGAATGCTGAGAGCCACAGGGCCAAGCAATGGTAGACCCAAAAAGAAGGAGGGAAACAAGGCACAAAGGAGGTGTCATTGGGGCCAAGTCTTAGAGAATTTGTACAGATTTGTCCTTTAGAAAATAGAACTAAGGGCACTCAGGGAGCAGGACCACAGAGGTGTAAAACTAGCAAAAGGCGGAATTGCAGATAACTTGGGGTGGAGAGGGGACTGGGAGGGGAGTGGTGGAAGGTAAGGTTTTCTGTCTTTATATCATGCTAAGGAACTTGAACTTGATCCTGCCAGATGGCGTTTCCCAAAAAGTACTCCTTACAAGTTGATTCCCCCAAATGTGACTAGGAGGATGTGGGCGGAAGGCTATTGTATCAGGTAAGACCAGGAGCCCGTGGGTCAACCAAATCTAAACTGATTTCTTTACTGCAGGCCTTCTTTCAAGCTTTATCACTCTCCTGTGCTCACCGACTCTCTAAGCGGGGGCAGAGCGAGCTGCATTTCCCAAGCATTTTGGCCACAGAACACTGGTTCTGGGACCTTCTCAGACTGTTTAGACATCAGGGAGCCATTAGAACATTTTAAGCAGGGATAAGACCTGGTCCAATTTACATGTTGGGAAATTTTCTTTAGTAGCCAGGGAGGAGACCAGAGGTGGAAGGACTGTTTGGGAGGAAGCTGACTAGATCATCCAGGTGAGAAAAGTGAGAAAGTCTTAAAATTATGTTCCACAGGGATAGAGGGGATAAAGACAGATTTGAGAAATGCTTAGGAAATGCAACCAGTAGGCAGGCCATGGCGGCTAACAGGCAGAGAGGAAAGAGGCATGGGGAGGAGCCTGGGATGGTTCCCAGATGTTTGGCTTGGGGTGTGGGTGAGCTGTGGGGCAACACATAAAAAGAAGCCCATGGAAGAGAAGCAAGGTGAGAGGGAAGGAGAAGAAGGAAAAGTAGTTACTTGGGGTGGAGATGGGAATGGTGGAAGGTAAGGTATCCGGTCTTTATATCATGCTACGGAACTTTAACTTGATCAAGTAGGGCAACGAGAGCCGGGCAGCGGCCAGTCGCCGTGGCTCACACCTAGAATCCCAGCACTTTGGGAGGCTGAGGTGGATGATCACCTGAGGTCAGGAGTTTGAGACCAGCCTGGCCAACATGGCAAAATCCTATCTCTACTAAAAACACACAGAATTAGCTGGGTGTGGTGGCGGGTGCCTGTAATCCCAGCTACTTGGGAGGCTGAGGCAGGAGAATCACTTGAACCCAGGGAGTGGAGGTTGCAGTGAGCTGAGATCTCACCACTGCACTCCAGTCTGAGCGATAGAGCAAGATTCCATTTCAAAAAAAAAAAGAAGAAGAGCCAGGCATAGAGGAGCTACAGATACAGGCAGAAGGCAGAGAGCTGGGGAAAATCAGAGCAGAGATAGTGGGAGATGGCACAGGGTAGTGGACCCAGAGCCCAGGCTTCAGAGCCAGTAGGACCTGGAGCCAGATGCCCAGTCTGGGAACCTGGGCAGAACAATGAATCTTGTGTGCTTCCCTGCAAAGGGAAGATGAGGATGTCCACTCTGGACAACTGCTGCGTGAGTCTGTGCTCCAGGAATCATTCCTGGTTTCAGAACAGGAGAACACGGAGGAGTGAGGAAGGAGAGCAGCCGAAGGAAGGAGGGTGATAACAAACACCAGCTTGTCACAACAACACAGTAGTAACCACAGTGGCGGCAGTGTGTCACTAAATGTTGAGCACTGACTCTGTGGCAGGCACCATTCTCAGTGCTTGACAAGTGTCAACTCATTTAATCCTTACCACAGCCCATGAAGTAGGTATTATTGTTATTTCAAAGAAATTTAGAATCCACTTTTCTTTTTTCAGATGGAGTCTTGCTCTGTCACCCAGGCTGGAGTGCAGTGGTACAATCTTGTCTCACTGCAACCTTCCCCACCCGGGTTCACGTGATTCTCCTGCCTCAGTCTCCCAAGTAACTGGGATAACAGGAACCCACCACCATGCCTACCTAAATTTTTGTATTTTTAGTAGAGACGGGGTTTCACCATGTTGGTCAGGCTGATCTAGAACTCCTGTCCTCAGGTGGTCCACCCGCTTTGGCCTCCCAAAGTGCTGAGATTACAGGCATGGGCCATCGCACCTAGCCTATTATGCAGAATTTTATACATGAGGGAATGGAAAGGTAAATTAATTGGACAAAATTTCTCAGCCAGTATGTGTCTCAGGCAGAGGAGACAAAAGTATAGAGAGACCAGGGTAGGACAATTTGAGGTGGCATGGATACTGAAAGTATGTTTAGATTATATATTTTTTGAAAATGGAATTTACAGACAGGGTGTGGTGGCTCACACCTGTAATCCCAGCAATTTGGGAGGCTGCGGCGGGCAGATCACTGCAGCCCAGAGTTTAAAGACCAGCCTGGGGAACATAGGGAGATCCTGTCTCCATTACAAAAAATAATAATAGACTGGCCGTGGTGGGTCACACCTGTAATCCCAGCACTTTGGGAGGCTGAGGCTAGGAGTTCAAGACCAGCCTGGCCAACATGATGAAACCTCATCTCTATTAAAAATACAAAAATTAGCCAGGTGTGATGGCACACACCTGTAATCCCAGCTACTTAGGAGGCCGAGGCATGAGAATCATTTGAACCTGGGAGGCAGAGGTTGCAGTGAGCCAAGATTGCTTCTGCACTCCAGCCTAGGTGATGAGCAAGACTGTCTCAAAATAATAGTAATAAAATAAAAATAAAAATCATGATTGTTCTTGTTGGCATAATTATTGTATGGGCAAAAATATTCCAAATGCAGCATTGGAGTTATGAGGGAGCCCTTGGGATTATTTTTCTACTCTGGGCCTTTATTTGACTGTGTTACAAATTCATGAGTCATTATAGATTTTAGGCACCCCTTCCACATCAAAGATATTAAATTGTCTATGTCTCACTGTTTTTATTTAATTCATTGAAATGAATGCGCCCTCTAGGTTTTTGCCTTAGTTTCAGTAATGGCCATGATCCCAGCGTCGCATTTGCAGCCCTCTCAAGCTATGCTGTCATACTCATTTATGCCTTCATTATCCCCTGTGTTAAGAACACGCTTGCAAAAGGTGCCCTTTCCGATCCACTGCCCACCTCTCATTCCACCAGCAACAATTCCCCTTGTGCATTTTTCTTCAGCTCTGTCAATGGCACAGCATAGGAAGTGTGGCACACCCGGGGAAGGGAATCTAGAATCAGGTAAGCATGGCGGGGGTGTGGAGTGAGTGATGAGGCAGGAAGCTGGAAAGGGAAGCAGGGGCTGGATGAGGAAGGGTCTTGAGCCCGGGTGGAGGAGTTCACACCCTATCCCGAAGGTCGTAAGGAACCAGTGGGAAGTTTACAACAAGAGACATGGTCAGGATTCCATTTTAGAAAGATCACTCCATAGAGAATGGATTGTCCAAGGGCAAGAGT